GGTAGGAGATCTTTTCCTTGAAACTCCAAAAGGCTTCGGCTTTTATATTTTACTTGGTAGAGTTGATGATGTATTTGTTCATACTACTGGAGAAAAGACAAATCCAATACAGATAGAAAATACAATTCGTCTTAATAAATTTGTTAAACAGGTAGCCGTTGTTGGACATAATAAACCATTAAATTGTCTCTTAATAGAACTTGATTTCGAAATTTTTAAAAAGGCACCCTTATTAAGTATCATGAAAAGCATTTTAGATTCAATCCATCAAGCAAATAATGATTGTCCATCACATTCACGAATCTTTGATGAAATGGTTTATGTCTTACCTATTGAAGGAAAAATATTAACTCGAACAATGAAAAATAATATACAACGTAAAAAACTTGAAATAGAATTTAAAGAGGAAATAGAGAAACTTTACAATGATTTTGAAAATATCAAATTTGTTCCGAATGAAGAATCCATTTCTAATGATCAATTAAATGAAGATTTTGTAAAAGATACTGTATTAAATTCTCTCAAAACCTGTATTGGAGTTTCATTATCCCAAATTACCGAATATGAAGCTTCATTCTTTGCTCTTGGTCTAGACTCTTTATCTGCAACCAAATTACGAGCTATTCTTCAAAAACAAATTTCGGTTATTAATCTTCCCAACAATGTAATTTTTGAGTATAATACTGTTCAAAGTCTTACAAATTATCTGATGAGAGAATTATCAAAAATCAGTATCCCACGAAATAAAAATATTACTGATGACTATAAAGAAAAATTAAAAGTACTTCAAAATGAAGTGAATTTATATATTCAAAAATATAGTAAAATTGAAGACTTTCCCTCTGTAAGGCGTATTAATGAAATTTTAAATGGAAAAAATAAAATTATAAATGGTGAAACGATCCTTATAACGGGAGTTACTGGATCTCTTGGCTCTTTCATTCTTCGAGATTTGTTAAAAAATCCAAATGTACTTAAAGTTTATTGCTTGGTGAGAGCATCAGATGAAAATAATGGATGGGCTCGATTAAAAAATTCATTTGAACAACGTAATTTAGATACTTCGTTATTATCTAAACAACAGGTTATCATTCTACCGTGTGACTTGGGTGATTCAAAATTTGGACAAACAGAAAAGATTTACTCAAAACTTGTACAAGAGGTAACACAAATTTATCATGTAGCTTGGAGATTAGACTTTAATAGTAAAATTGAAGCTTTCGAACGTGAAAATATTGGTGGAACCGTTCATTTACTTATGCTTGCTCGTGAAGCATATGCTCATCATCAAAATGTTCATTTTAATTTTATATCAAGTATCAGTACAACTCTGAGATCAAAAACAAATATTAAAGAGGATGAATTACCTAAAGATATTTCATGTGCATTAATTAATGGATATGGTTTATCAAAATTTATTACTGAACATGTATGTTCAGAATGGTCACGAAAAATTGGTTTCAAACTTGATATTCATCGCGTTGGACAAATTTGTGGAGATTCAATTACGGGGATTTGGAATACTCGAGAACATATTTCTCTTATGATAAAAGGTGCACAAATTATGAAAGTTATGCCAGATTCATATTCTTCATGTGTCGATTGGATTCCTGTAGATGTAGTATCCCAAAGCATCGTTGAAATTTCTTTGAATGCACCTTTTGATAATGATAATAATGAAATTGTCCGAGTTAATCATATAATTAATCCAAAGATAATTTCATGGAATGAATTCTTAAAATTTTTACAACAAAGTGGAATTAATTTTAAAGTTGTTTCAAATAAAGAATGGTTAAATACATTATTAAAAACTCCTGAATATCAAGATGTAGATAAAAATCCGTTAGCTTCATTATCAGGATTCTTTGAAAACGTCATATGTGAATTTGAACGATATAATCCGTTATTTGAAACTCAGAAATCAGTAAATCGTAGTTTGACACTTTCTAATTGTAAAGAAATTGATGTAAAATTAATTAAATCATTTATTAATTATTGGAAAAATATTTTATTCCTAGATTAAAACCTTTATTGTTAAGTTTTATCACTTAATTTTTACCTTATATTTTTTTTACTTCTCTTGGTTCAAAGTTGTATTCTGTACTCTGAATTAAAATAAATAAAATATTTTAAAGGAATGACATGAAACTAGTATTCTTCTTTAGAAAGGTTACCGTTTTTTTTCAAATTTAAATTTCAGAATAAGTTCAGCACGATTCGTGTGATCTTTGCGTCACGTAACTCAACAACCTTTCGAAAGAGGTGCTTAGATTTGTCGAGTTGAGATTCAAAGCTTCGGTAATTGTTCCCCAACAGTTCAAATTTTTGCTGTAAATAAAGGATAAGAACATCTATATCTGATCCATTTCCGATAAGAATTTCTTTAGCTTCATCACCTACATTAGTCTCTTGTTTCGAATCTTGATTGTTTTCTTGAGACTTTGTCTCTTTGATAGGTGTACTTCCAATTTTAGTTGCATGATTTTGGCGACGGGCTGTCGTCAAAATTTCAGTCATGTCGAGTCATCCTTGGAGGGCCTGGACTCAGAATTATGTTCGGAAAAATTATCTATAATTTTTTGAATTTGCTCATTAGAATTTGCGCTATATGATTTAAGATAATTAATTTTGTCAATGCCTATTTTTTCGAACAATCTGAAAGTCTTTACAGCTTTTTGAGTTTTTTTTGCATAAAGTTTTGCGCGAGATTTCTGGAAGTAGTAGGCCTATCTCTTTAGATCTTTTTTTACGGATAATAATAGGGTGCACTAATATTTTATCATAAAGCATACTTTGGCTTTTTTTTCTCACCAATTTTGCAATTACTATTTTTTATAATATCGTTGTATTGAATTATAAAATTTGATTGTGCTATATTCAGCATCAATTGCCTTATCAAATAATTGTGCTAAATTGAGTAGCAAAACTGCAGAAGAATCTCAGTGAGTGACTGTAACTGAAATTTTGCTCACATAATTTAAATCCATAAGTTTATTATTCTGAGTAGGATGAGAATCGAATCTGATAATCGTTTTAATCGTTAATCGAATTATAATCGATTCTCATTTTTGTGTAATCGTTATAATCGTTTCTAGAAACGATTACGTACATATTTTTTAATCGATTCTAAGCATATAATCGTATTAATTTCACTTATTTTAAGGTATTTTATTTTTAAGGTATTTTATTTATTTCAAAAATAGTTTTTTTGTTTTTTAAACTTTACGAATCATTTAGCCTATCCTTTAGTTTGTGCTTAGCCATCTTATTTCGCAAGTTACTGTAAATGTTTAAGATTGTTACGCTTAATTTTCTTGATGACTATATGGGCTGCCGTCAATAGAAATCAAGCAAATCTAAAAAATTAATACTTTAACTTTCACAGCTTATATCTCGATGAATTTTAAAGCTATCTTGATTATCTAGTATTCAAAAGAAAGCTTAGATCG